TTATTTGTTTTCGTTTTAGTGATCGAAGCTGAAAAGGAACAACAACAATTAATTGCAGGTATTGAGAACTTTGACCCCACAAAGTTGAAACCCACAGTAACTGAAGAAAAAAACCCATTACCAACTAAAGAAGGTACCTAAATTTAATAATACTTAGTAGCCAACAGGCTACATTATTAATATTTATCATTCACTATACAAATAGTAAGCAATGAAATGTAGTAAAAAATAAGTCTTTACTTTAACATTAATTTGGTATTATTTCACATTTGTATAACTTATTTCATAAAGTTACCTATGTAAAAATTAATATAAAATAATACAAATTAAATTGTATAAATCTATAACTCTTTATAATTTAAATTATAATTTTTCTTTTTTTATAGTTATAGCTGAAGAGAAAAAAGCCTAAGCTTCAACATTCCTAATGGTTCCTCTGTGGGATGGATAAACTATTATATAAATTATACTCTTACATTTGTATCACCTTTGAGTTGGTAAAATTTGTATGAAAATGTGAACATTTTTCATAAAATACATATGCTATAGATGGTCGTTTATAACTAAGAATCTCTAAACCAACTCTGTCTTGATGTATTAACTTTTCAGTTAATTATAATATAATATATGTATTTTTTGCATTTTTTAACACTCAATGTATATGTATTTTTTTACTCTTTTTAAACATTTTTTTTATATAACCCAATACATAGATATGCTACTTTATAACACCAATATAAATATAGAACTTAAAAATTAAAAAATAAATGTATTTTTTTTATTGTGTTTTGGCTTTTAATAAAAATTAGTGTATTATTTATCAATAAAAAAACAATTACCATCARTAATATGTTTTAGAAAAAATTATTTTAAATTGTGAAAAAATTTTAAGTTAAAAATTACTAATAGTTAATCAGATTCGTAATTATTTAGTTTACACKAATCACAAATATTTTCAATCAATTAATTTTTATAAGTTTTGAATACATTTATCAACCGTAAAATACTTAAATGCTATTAAGCATAAGTATTAATATAATTGAGGTGAATAACAATGGACATTTTTATTCATAAACATAACATATTGAAATTTCAGATAATGATATTTTATTATTATAATTATTATCAACTGGTGGATAAAAAAATTTAAAAAAAAATAATGTACTTAGGTATTAGCATAAGATTWATAATAAAGAAATACAAGTCATAAAAAAATGTATACAAATTTGTATCATAATTTATATGAAATTATGTTGATATTTTATTGACATGAGTTAGTGCCGGTGCTATGATTTGCGAGGCCCTGTGCAATTTATAAAAACAACGCCCCCTCTCCAMCTCTTGGACAAGTGACGACGAAAACATAATTGTYACAATCGTACAAAATACCAATAAAAAATTGCGAGGCCCTGTGCGGTTGCACTTCGTGCACACCTCTCGTGCCGGCACTAGGTGTATACTATTAAGTAGGTACATTGATTAAATATATATAGTATATTTAATCAATGGTAGGTAGGTATTGATGTTATTGATGTAGGGATATTAGGTAGGTACATAATAAATCAAATTTCCTATCTATTTCTTTTTAATATTAAGTAGGCAATTTTGCGGCAACTTACAGTAATAMAATAATTTAAAAKTTATGGAGTAAATAGTTAAAAATTATAATAAAACTTAAATGATATATTGTTGCAACTTATTATAATATTATAGTTGATTAAATAAATTCATGACTTTAAAATTTTTTTTTCAAATAAAATGTGCAACAATTTAGTTTTTTTTGTTGGTAACTCTAAGATTGAAATTGCTTTCCCTCACTAGCGACTAGCCATAATCATCAATAATGTAATTTTTTGACAAATCTTGGTCGCTTTGGTATATATAGTATATATATACATATTCTATCAATTATCATCCTAAACATAGTAGATAGAGGTATGTATGTTTGTTCCTACCCGGCAGAATAARTTATATTTTTGATACCTACAAGATAGTAGACACATGGCAAAAAATAGTTGCGTATGTTAGTTCATATACCTACGGTAAAAAAATAAAATTACTCTGTGATTGTTAGAATATATATATATATATATTATATATATAATATGTATTAAGTGTATTTACTATTTATATAATCGATGTTGTTTAAAGTTTAAACTGCTTTATTGTGTGGTGCACTGGTGTCTACATTAATAAATAATAATAATTTATAAATGTATGATGGCTTATCGATGAAACTGCAGACATCTAAATTCATGACTTTTATGTTTATTTTTTCATTAATCAATGACTTTTAATTACTGATAAAAATAAAACAGAAAACTTTATTATGGTTTTGGACGTATTTTAACTTGGTATAGTTGTAAACTTGTAATTATATTCAGAAATTAAAATAATGTACATCTGGTAATTTCTCTTAAACGTTTTGTTCATATTATTCGAAACATCTGCCTATATCCGTGTATATACTGTATGTATATTAAGTCATAATATGAGTGAAAATGTATCATTCATGTTGAGTGATAAAGGTAAAGAACTGCTAGTACCTATTATGTTATTTAAATTTTTTAAACATCACACAACTTAAAAAAAAAAAAATGAAAATACGTGGCGTTGTATTATGAATAAGTGTAGTGCAAACATTTTTTTTTTTAATAGCTAGTTTCAATATTACAGCTCAACAATTATTAGAACGACATAACAAGATAACAGTTCTATAGAGTATAGACTACAATATTAAAATATGTATAAAGATTTAATCATATGGGGAAAAAAATAAAAATAAAAATAAAATAAATAAATAATAAGTAAATAATTACAGTAAAAAAAAAAAAAAAATTAAAAATTAAAGTAAGTAAAGAAATCATATTATGAAACCAGCCTCCAAAATAAAATTAATTTATATATTTGTTACTATTTCCGAATTGGAGTTGAGGATGGAGGAAAGATTGAGAGGAACATTGATGGAATTAAGAGAATAAAATAAAATAGCGCGTTTCATCGCTTGCAGAGAAGGGCAATCAAGGAGAAGATGAGGGAGATCGCAAACACTTTCGTTGGGATGTATAGATGTATGAAATACAGAGTGGGGAGTCATWAAGTCCTTATTTGTGCGAGTGAGCAGGTAGTAATGTGTGACCAGAACGTAGGCGATTGAATTGTATGATACCAAATCTTGGTAAATTGAGGTTGTTAAACTTTGTTTTGTTAAGAACATTTGGTACGATGTTTTTGTATCTGGTGGCAAACTCAGCTGRGAGGTTTGACCAGTATGTGGACCAGAGGTTAGATATATGACACCGTAAAATTGGAATGAAATCGGTACGGGGGAGTTGGATGAGAGCGGGACATATTAAATTGGACGTAGATTGTCGGCGACTTCGTTCCCATGTACACCGATATGGCTTGGAACCCAAAGAAATTGTATGGACTAATTGGGTTGATGGAGTTTTAGGATGATTGATTTAATAATATGGATTAGAGAGGACAGGTGAGAGTCAAAAGGATTAGACATTAGTGCTTGTAAACAAGACATTGAATCAGAAGCAATTAAGTATTTATTGGAGGCAAGGTTTGAAATAAGAGATAAAGCTTCAATGATTGCATAGCACTTAGCAGTGAAAGATGAGGAAAGTGCAAACATTTATTCTGATGGTCAAAAAAATCGATTAACCTAACCTACAGAAAAATCGCATTTTTACCACAGTCATAACATGCTATTGATGAATCTATTTAAAACGGCAATGAACTAGTATTTCTTGCAAAGCAAAAGCTGTAGACTCTATAGTTGAAAATAATACGAAACGATGTATCAAGGGTGGATCGGTAGATCGGAAAATTTCCCGATGGCCGGTCGAATAATCGAATTATGTAGTCRTGCAGTTTGGTTGTAACTTGTAAGTTGTAAGTAATTTAACAAGATTTTTGAATTATGATTGTAGTTTTTCAGGTTTTGGTTATTTAAAATTATAAAATATATTAACATAAATAATACGATAATAAACCTAAAATTATATTTTGTTATTCTAAATCAGTTGATGTACCTATATATTGTTATAATGAAAGGGTCAAGGGGAGACTGAGAGAGGTATTTAAACGGAAGATAACAATTAAAAACGGAGTATATCGATAAAGTTYGTCTACGGGAACCGATACCAACTTYTAGACGACTAGACGTATATATTTGACAAATGACAACCAAAAAAACTTATTGTATAAAAAGTAGGTAATAAATAATAATTGTTCTCAGGTCATAATCTCGTAATAATCCAACTGCTACCGACGATCGATTCGTATCGTTCTGATAAGAACGATCGTCAAAACTCATAGTTATGCAAAAATAAATTCTAAAATAGTAATAGAAATTATAGTCAATAACGCAGCCGCCAGCCGGCTACAAAGCGTACCGTTTGTTTTTTATCTACGATAATTCGATAGAATATTGTTATATTATTTCAGGGCCAGCTTTAGATCCGATCAACGTGTGTGACAGCACAGAGGCGCCAAAATCGAGGGGGGCGCGGTTGCCTGTTTGTACGTTTAAAAAAGGGTGAAAGGCGCTGAAATAATACTTGCACCGAGTGCTGAYAAAGCTAGAGCCGATTCTGTATTATTTAAAAATATRCTGTTTTCATCCACCACAACGAATCTGTAGTAGTGCGTAGTCTATGATATTGTAGTACATAGGTACCTATCGAGCATCGAGAATCAGCTGTTCTGTACAGTGTACCTATTACCTGAACCTATAAATGCCGGTTCTAAATTTATTATTAAATGAGTAATTATAATTTTTGATTTATAATTGATTATTTATATAATAATTTACTCGACACAACATGTTTACTGCGCAGTAAAAACATAAATTACTTAGTAACAGTTAAGTCAAACAATCTATTAATTTGTATTTTGTGTTTTGTACAAAATACTAATGTAGTATAATGTACTTATACTTACCCTTTTATTTTATTCCACACAATTAAGTTTATTTTCTCGACAAAGCTATGGGTAATAATTTATCATTAAGACCAAACAAAGACAGAAATGATATGTTGATCAATAAAATATCTTCATGTGGCCTTACCGAATTCTGGGACCAAAAAAGACAAGATTTTAATGATATTTACTTTACTGAAAATAATTTTCCACCAGCTAATGCGTCGGACTTTCGTGTGTCAACCATATTAGATGAAGGGTCTTTCGGCTCTGTTGCATTAGCAATTCACAATGGAACTGGTACTGTTTACGCTACAAAAGTAATTGCCAAAAAGAAAATAGTCAAAAGTCATAATGTAAGTATTTTTCAATACTACAAGTATCGATATTGGAGTTGACYATTTTTTGCTTTTATAATTACCGAACCTAAATTCCCTTTGTATAATACAATGAAATATCCATGGATGGATAGGCCATTTTTGGCCTACCGGAAAATTTAAAAAAGGGGCCCCATATGAAAAAGAATTTAATAATATATYTATGATATTAAAGGGCCCCATTACTGAAATACGAAGGGGGACCCACCGGGAAATTCCCAGTTACCCGGTATGCCTATCCACCCATGGAAATATCCATAACTACCCACGTCCTACCCTCCTACATATTGTACTTAAAATATACAATATTATATTCCATAATAAGTAACAATATTAGCTAAACATCAATACATCATAACAATAAATACCTATGTATAAAGACAAAGAACTAAAGGACACCTAATAATTAAATAATACTTGGATGTGATTTAATTAAATTCTACACACTCATCATTAGAAGATTTGTAGTTTATTAAGTTTTTAATAATATTTTTAATGTTTTTTTATTTTTATTTAGGGTCTCGTCAACTTTCTATTTGGTTGGTGTGTTCCTGGTCTATATATAAGCTATCAGAAGTAGGAACTATCTGTTTATACTTTTATAGAAATATTTAATTTTACGTAATATTTAGATTTTGGCTCAATTTTTTATTACTTTTCTAAGACTGTTTATTATAGGACCCCTTAAAAAATCTAATCCATGGGCCAATGTGTCAGACCAACAATGATGAGAGCTATAACACGCTTTTCTATACAATATGTATAGGTGCCTGTATAAAGTATTTAATATTTATAATATAATTTACTAATATAAGCTATASTGCTATAACATTAGGTTTATTATATTATTAAATATCATGATATTTGCAGTGCCTGAATTGGAAAATAAATAGAAGGGGATGCAAAAATATTATAGAATTTTCGTACCTAYCCAGGTATTTAAATTTCTTATTGATCAGGACATAATGCATTTATAAAATAAAGATATCTACGTCAAAATATTAATTTTTAAAAGAAGGGAACTCCGGCCCCTGCGTTACCCTTTAACTCTGCAGGCACTGAATATATGCGTATAATATTACACCAGGTGCAGAGAATGCTTAATGAGAAACGAATTTTGGAGTCCATCAATTTTCCGTTTGTCATTCGTCTCGAGTATTTCTACCAAGACCACAGTTTCATTTACTTTGTCATGCCATTCGTATGCGGCGGTAACATGCACACATACATGAAACGTCACGGATCGATGGACGAGAGCAAAGCACGATTTTATTTTTCAGAAGTTCTTCTGGCCGTTGAATATCTGCACAAGTTAAACTTGGTGCATCGTGATATCAAACCAGAAAATGTACTAATCGACGTTAACGGGCATGCTCAACTCGCAGACTTTGGGTTTTGTAAACACGTTAAGGGTCGTACGTTCACGTTTTGTGGTACTGCCGAATATTTGGCACCAGAAATCATACTCAGACGAGGTAAGACATAATAAACTATTATCCATTTATTTATTTAGCTATTAATGTAGATATAATACGGGTATATTATATGCTCTACAAGTATTATACCGTGAATGCACTTATGCACGGGTACAACACCAAGGTTATTGTTGTTATAGTATAAATATAAAAACCTTGATATATATATCATATATCCATTTATGATGTATACCAGAGATGTGTATTATAAAGGGTTTATAACCTTAATGGCTTTTAGATTCTGAGCGGAGCGATGAATGTATTGATTTTAC